GATCCCAGAAGCTGTGAATATGTTACCTTGGCTATGTGGAAGAAGGGGCTTAGCAGATGTGATTTAAGGTTAGAAACCTTGAGATGGCGAGGTTATCCTGAATTATCCAGGTGGGTACATGAATCCTTAGAAGTGGAGAAGCTTCCCCAGCTGCAGTCCAAGCAGATGTGACTAGTGAAGAATGGTCAGAGGAGCATCCTCGCTGTAAGCTGTGAAGACGGAGGAAAGCCAAGGAACAGGGCAGCCTCTAGAAGCCTGAAGAAGGCAAAGAAACCCATTTTTCCCCTCAAGCCTGGAGAAAGAAGTGCAGCCCCGCCGACACCTTGAACTCAACCCCGTGAGACTTCTGTCCTACAGAAGTACCTAATGAACAGAAGATGTTAGTGATGGAAAAATGAGTATCGAGTATAATGGAACTCTCTGTACTCTCTTTGCATTTTTCTGTAAATCTAAAACTATCCTAAAATAAAGTTTATTTAAAATATGGATGAGCTTCCAGTTAAATAAATCAGTCAGCAGGATGATCAGTACAGCAAAGGGAATACAGTCGATAATATTGTAACAACTTTGGCAACAGATGGTGACCACACTCGTTTTGTTGTGTATACAATTGTGGGATGGCTACATTGTACACCCGAAACTAACATGATATTGTGTATCCACTCTACTTCAATTAAAACATTAAAATTTTTTTTTACTTTTATTTTTATTGTTTTAAATTTAATTTTATTTATTTGACAGAGAGAGACACAGTGAGAGAGGGAACACAAGCAGGGGGAGTGGGAGAGCGAGAAGCAGGCTTCCCGCCGAGCAGGGAGACGGACATGGAGCTCGATCCCAAGACTGATGCTTAACCACTGAGCCACCCAGGCACTCCTCAATTAAAATGTTTTTAATTAAAAAGAGGGGCACGTGGGTGGCTCAGTGGGTTAAGCATCTGCCTTCAGCTCAGGTCATGATCTCAGGGTCCTGGGATCAAGCCCCTTGACAAGCTCCCTGCTCAGTGGAGAGAGAGTCTCTTTCTCTGTCTCTCTCTGCCCCCCGCCCCAACCATGCATGCCCTCTCTCTCTCAAATAAATAAATAAAATCTTTAAAAAAAGTTTTTAATTAAAAAGATAAACTGCCCCAAACCTGACCAATTACATCAGAACCTCTGTCTCGGGGATCAAGCATCAGGATTAAAAAAAAAAAAAATCACTCTAGGTGATTCAGACCTGTAGCCGAGGTTGAGAGCCACTCATCACTGAAAGCACCTCATAAAGTCTAAAGCAGGGGCGTGTGGGTGGCTCAGAGGGTTGAGCATCTGCCTTCGGCTCAGGTCGTGATCTCAGGTCCTGGGATCAAGCCCTGCATCAAGCCCCGCATCGAGCCCCGCATCAAGCCCTGCATTGGGCTCCCTGCTCCGCGGGAAGCCTGCTTCTCCCTCTCCCACTCCCCCTGCTTGTGTTCCCTCTCTCGCTGTGTCTCTCTCTGTCAAATAAATAAATAAAATCTTTAAAAAATAAATAATTAAAAAAATAAAAACCTAGGGAGAAATAAAAATTCAAATAACCCTGAATCCTGCCCCCTAGTGATATATCCACTGTTGTTGGTGGATGCCTTTTTACTTTTCTCATGGATATCTACATTTATGATTATTCTTATTCTCATTATTAAAACACACAACCTGGGGCTCCGATGGGCAGCCCCATAGCCCCAGGGTCTCCTGCAGCACTTGTTGTCTTCAGGGAGGATGGGGAGCCCGGCCCCAGTGAGGAGACAGAAGCCGGAGGCGTGGCTGATGTTGAAACCCTGTGAAAACCCAGCTTAGACCAATGTGCCTTGGCAACGCCACCTATTAATTAAGCGAGGGCACGGGGCGGCCTCCAACGCCATCACGCTTCAGACAATGGGGAGCTGCTCCCGTGTCGTCAAGCCATCTCTCCAGCCGTTTTCTCCTCTCATGCTAGGACACCCAAAGACACAAGTCCAAGAACAGCCTTCCTCACGGCGCTAGTCCAGGGCCGAGCACGAGCAGCGTCCACATGCCAGGCCTTCCCCTCTCTGCCTGCTGTGGGCCACAGTCATCAACCTGTCACTAAATATTTAATATTGTTGAACTCTTTAAATGGCACAGCTGGTCCACATCTGCTGGCCTCTTTTAAGAGCTACACCTGCAAGTCACACAGGCTCCTGGAAAAGCAGTCTGAAGAGGGATCACACGCTCCTGGAGGTTGCGTGTGAATCCTGGTTCGCACAGTCCTTGCTGTGTGACCTCAAAAGGGTGGCTTGACTTCTCAAGGGTCTCAGTTCCCTCATGTACGGGGCGGAGGCAGGACTCCCACGCGCTGGAGGGAGGCTTAAGGGAGCGAATACATCCCAAAGCGTCTGGCACATGGTATTCAAATAATGTTTGAGTTCTGTTTTGTCTTTCTTTTTGCTTTCTGTCTACATTATGCTTCCCTTTTCCTTTTGGAGAAGAAGAAGGGACTCAAAAGCAGGGAATCTGCTCATTCATTCTCAACAAATATTTATGGTGAGTCTTCCCTGTGCTGGATGCCGGCATTGATCTCAGGATCATGAGTTCGAGCCCCAAGTTGGGTGTAGAAATTACTTTAAAAAATTAAAATATTTTGGGGCGCCTGTGTGGCTTCGTTGGTTAAGCATCCAGCTCTTGAATTCGGCTCAGGTCATGATCTCAGGGTCCTGGGATCGAGCCCTGCATCGGGCTCTGTGCTCAGTGGGGAGTCTGCTTCTCCCTCTCCCTCGGCCCCTCCCCCTGCTCATGCACACATGCGGTTTCTTTCAATCTCTAAAAAAATAAATAAATCTTAAAAAAATTAAAAAAATAAGATCTTTTAAAAAATAATAACATGGGAACAATAAAATATCTCACACGGGTCCTGAGAAGAACAAAGGAAAAGATACTTGTAAAGATGCTTAATGAGCTACAGGTAGCTACGTATCATGAGGGTAGAAGCTGAATAAATGGGGGCCAGTGGGGATGGCTGTCCAGCAGAAGAGGCCCGGAGACCACGGCCTGAGGACCAGGGCCGTCAAGCCCTAGGACCTGGAGTCCCACTAGTGGAGCTTGTTTGTCCTTTAAGGCAATTATACAGATAAGAAAACCAAAGGCCCAGGGAGCAGAGGAGACTCACTCAAGAGGCACAAAATCGGGACCTAAGCCAGGTCTCCCCTACTCAATTCACATGTTTCTTCCCCCCCCCCCCCGCCCAATTCACATATTGCTGAAGTTCCTACCACACTCAGACCCACCAACAAGCATTTATGTATTGGGCTCTTTTGCTGGGCTGACCCTGGTGGGTAGCTGCTTCCCTGGCCCACTGGAGGTGGGGGGAGGGCGACACAATGTGGAAAAGTGGCCATGAGCTTGGCCAAAGGGGTAGGGACCAACAGGAGGGTAACCCTGGGGAATCTCATGCATGGAGCAGGGCAGACCCCGAGTCAGCAAGAGTCAAGTAAAGGGAGATGGGGAAAAAGAATACTTAGCTGAGATGCACCAGGTGCTCTGCTCTCCATTGAACCCTTCATTTCGTCTCACAAGGGCAATTCTAAAAAAATCAGCACTGCTGGTACTCTTGTTAAAGGGTATACTGAGACACATTAAAATTTTCAAGCGTTTATTTGGGTATATATCAATTTTAACTGAGTATCACCAAACCAAAGGTGGGTAGGAGCTCTCCGCCAGAAGGCAGGACCTGTGGGGAGAGCTTTCTTAAGGAGAAGAGGCTGAAGCAAAGCAAGGCAATCACTTTATTGGCTACAGCTCATGCAGTTGCTTTGTTTGGGAATAGCTAGGCGGCTGTCTGTAGTTGGTTGTCCTTATGTTTATTCTTTCTCAGATTTTGGATTTTAAATTTTAAATTTTCTCAGATTTCTTGTGTGCAGCCAGGCTTGATTCTGGGTTAGGTTTTGGTTTGCTTGCTAGGCTAGCAAGGCATCAAAGCTGCCTGGTCTAATGGTCTCTCTGTTCAATTGCTTTACCACTCTCATTTCCCAGAGAGAAGTGACCTGCCCAAGGCCCCACAATTGGCTTGGTGGAAGCTGGACTAGAGGCCAAAATGTTCAACAAGACGCTATGCTGCACCCAGGAAAAAACAGAGAAATGACTAAGAAGGAAGGGAGGAATTAAGAGAATTAAACATGAAAAATGGGAAAATGAAAGAAAAGAGGAAGTTGTCTTTATTATTTTTTAAGGTAAATTTATTTATTTAAAGAAAAAAATGAGTGAAGTTGTCTTTATTATTTTTTTTAAGGTAAATTTATTTATTTAAAGAAAAAAAAATTTAAACTAAGGTTTACGCCCAACGTGGGGCCGGAACTCACAATCCTGACATTCAGGAGTTGCAAGCTCCACGGAATGAGCCAGGCGGGCGCCCCTTTATTATGTTTCTCACACATAAAATAATCCATGTAACACATGCGAGTCATAAAACACCAGTAGAATGAACACCCTTGAACCCACCACCAAGCTAAAGACAATAGATACCAATAACTGGTATCCAGTTAGGCCAGCTCTTCGGCGAGCTGGTTGCACGCTGAGTGCACCCGGGGAGCTGAGACAACCTCTCACGCCCTGAGAACCTGATGGGACTGGTCTGGAGTTTGGTCTGGGCATCTGGATTTACCTAATTTTTCTTCTTTAAAGGCATCTGGACTTTTAAGACCTCCCCAAGGGATCCTCGTGTGCAGCCAGGCTTGAGAACCACTGACTTACAGCCTCCTCCCCTATCGTGTCCCCCTGACCTTCCCGCCTCCAACCCTCACCTTCATCCCCCGCAGGTAACCACCGTTCTGAATTTTGCGGAGGGGCGAGGATTCCTTTACCTTCATCCTTCCCTGTTTCCGGGACTAGCGACGTTTCCGATTGATCTCCCGTCCCCCACGAGAGGGCGCCAGAGAAAAAAAACGCAGCCTCTTTTCTCTCCGCGCGTTCGGTATCGCGCCGGAGGCGGCTTGGCCCTCGCGGCGCTCCGTCGTCGGTCCGTTGCCCCGGCAACGAGCGGGGAAACGGCCGCTGTTGCTGCCGCGCGGCCGGGCGGGACTGGCCGGCGTTGGTTGGGGCATGCCGGAGCGCGGCGGGGGCACTTTTCGGAAACTCCGGGGCGCGGAGAAACGTGAGTCGGAGGGTGGGCTCGGCCGGAGCCGGCGTGGGGTCGGGGACCCGCGGAGCCCGGCCGCAGGGGCCCCGCGCTGGCGGGAATCGCGGCGGGCGTCCGGGGACCCGCCGTCCCTGCGCGCTCTGGGTCCGACGCCTTGCTCTGCAACCCCTTTTGTCATATGTGGACGTTGGGGCTGCAAGAAGGAGGCCCCCGATTCGGGACCGGAGCCTCGTTTCTTGATTCCTGGTGCAAAGCTTTTCCGCGGGCGGCTTCCAGGGCAAGGAAAAAATTATGTCTGCCTTGCCACGGTTTCAAGACAGGTTGTAAACTGGCAGCCGAAGGCTCAACTGGGTCCATAGACGTAGATTATTTCCCCCCAGCTCTGAGCACTGAGCTTGAGACTTGGCCTGGACGCAGACCTACCCGTTTATTCAACAGACGTTTCATAAGTACTGTCCTAGCCAGGCACTGTGTAGACCCTGCCCATCGTGGCAGCTCTGGGGTCAGGGAAAGAGGTGCCTGGAGTGAGACTGCTCTCTGCTTTCAAGTCTCCATCGTGTCCCCATTTTATTCCGTGACCTGGGCACATCGATTCCTCTCTGGGTCTCAGTTTCTCCATCTGTAAGTTGAGGGATGTGTCCTCCATGCTAATCCAGAACACTTCTAGCTGTGACAGCTGGGCTGGGCCTCTCCCTGGGGGTTGCCAGAGCCAGGGCTGTTGGTCCCCACAGGCAGCCTTTTGCTGTCCACAGAGCCCAGGCCCTGGTCTGACACCACATGAATTAGGATCCCAGCCCTTTCATTTCCTCTACTTCCTGGCTCTGTGGTCTCGGGCAGGTTGCCACCTGCCAAATAATGGGGGGATTATAACAATGAAAAAGATCATATATGTTAAGAGCTTGGCACATATATACGTTCCTGAAATTATTACCCCTGTTACTTTGTGGAGAGCGTAGAAGTCCCCAGGTGTTTGGGCCAGCACTGCTAGGACTGGTCCCCTGTTGTCATCTGCAGCATCCTTGATGGTGTCTCGCTCACAGCTGGGTGCAGCCCAGGCTTATTTAAAGTGATGATTTGCAAATCATTTGAAAAGTGCTGATGCCTGGGGACCTGCACTGGGACGTTTTTGATGTCATTGGTCTGGAGCGGGGTGATTCCAGGGGGCGGCCAAAGGCTGAGGACCACTCATTAGGGGGCTGCAGCAGGCTCATTTTCCTACCATTGCCATTATCCTCAGATGGCACTCCCTACACTGCCCTCGTACTGGTGCAGCTGGAGGCTCCTGGATCAGCAGATGGCCCGACAGCGAGAGCAGGAGGCCCGGCTTCGGCAGCAGTGGGACCAGAACAGTCGCTACTTCAGGATGTCTGATATTTGTAGCTCCAAACAGGCGGAATGGAGCTCCAAGACCTCCTACCAGCGGAGGTAACTACAGTGACCTTAGGGGGATGGAGGCAGGAAGCCACTTGTTGGTCATGGCATGTGGCTTTAAGAACCCCGGGGGGTGGGGGTGGGGGAGTGTGGCTTAACAGCATGTTTTCTTGAGGAATTTGCTGGGTGGCATAAATTCCCTGCATGGTCATGTTTTTCCAACTGAAAATTGAAGAGAAAGATCATCAGTGAAATAATACATTTGCATTGAAAAAGAGAAAACAGTAAGAAATATATGTAGAATCTGGGAGTCTCCAGGTGACCCTTTATCCCCAGAGAGAACCACAATTAACAGGCTGACGCAGATCCTCCTGTACTTTTCCCCTGCTGTGTGTGTATAAATACACACACACATATACATCCATTGTTGCAGAAATATATGTAAAAATCATGGAAGGCAAAAGTGTAGGCTTTGGAGTTAGACCTAGTTGGAAATCCTGACTGTGTCACTTGCTGTATAAATGAGCCTCAGTTTCCTCCTCAGTGAAGTGGGGCTACAACAGAACCTACTTTGTAGGATTTATGATTCGGCATATCGTACCTTGTACATGGTAATTGCCCAAGTGTTAGCTAGTACTGTCGTTACGTGCATATGTGAGACCACTGTACATTTTCTTATTGCGAAGCCAAGATTCTGTTACGCATAGTGTTCTGTGACTTGCTGTCTTCACTTTGGCTGGAAGACACTTTCCTGTGTCACCATGTCACGTCCACCTCAGCCTCTTTAGCTGCAGAGCAGAGCAGAGCGTGCTGCGTGTGGCTGTCACGTGACTGACGGAGGGCGGGCTCTTTCCCATGCAGCATGCATGCCTATCAGCGGGAGAAGATGAAGGAGGAGACGAGGAAGCAGCTGGAAGGCAGACGGGACCGACTCAGGCAGCTGCTGCTGGAGGAGCAGGACCTCCTGGCCAGAGAGCTGGAGGCGTTGCGGCTCAGCGTGGACTTGCAGGAGGGAAGGATCCGGGAGCGGTGCAGCAATCTAAAGTCGGCCCGAGAAGAGCAAAGGAAACTGGTAACTTCTTCTAGCCCCGTAGGAGCCAACAGAGCCGGAGTGTCCCCAGCCCGTCAGTGAGGCACGTGTGGGGCCCCCCCGGGCACTCTGGTCTGATAAGCCAGCAGTTAACGGGAGAGCCAGCAGGGGGAGGGGCTTGTGCTACGTTGTTCTTCATGCGTGTTTGGCACGAGCCACCTCTATTCTCTTTGGCCCCTTAAATCACCACTTCTGAGTCCTTTGTCTTTATTCCAGTCCCATGGTCCCGCAAAGTCTTGGCACTGGTATACTTTATCTTCTGAGTACTTGGGGGGAATGGTGAGCCCCAGTCTATGTATTGAAGCCTGCTGTATCTTTTGCAACAGATCTGTCCCATCTGGGACCTGTCTGTAGCATCAGATCTTGGCACCCTTCCATCACCATTGTGGCAGTCATTTGTCAGGGCTGTCTGGTTCCATTCTGGTGTCTCCCAGAGCTGGGGGTGCAAGGCGGGCAGGAGGTCTGAAGGGCAGCTGCAGGGACAGCGAGCCAGTGGAGGGGCTTTCAGCCTGAGCTGACTTCCGCTGGGGGTTATCCAAAATGTGAATGGATTTGAAAAGTGACATCAGGCTTTGTGTCTTCTTGACAGATTGCTGAACAACTTTTATATGAACACTGGAAAAAGAACAACCCCAAACTTCGAGAGGTGAAAACCTTTGATTTGCCTAAGTAGATGAAATCATGTTTCCCTTCTTGTTTGTAAACTTGCATCTCTTGCTGGGGTGAAACAGGAGAGGACACCCCAGCCACCTGAAAAATGCACCAGGAGATCTGGTTCGTTTGGTGTTCAGCCAACACTTACTGAACATTTGCTGCATGGTCTAGCACCTGGGCATGTAGAGATTAGAGGGGGTCCCCGCTCTTCAGGAGCTCGCAGCCCAGTGCAGGAGACTGGGCAGCTCATTACAGTGCAGGCTGCAGTGGGCTGGGCAGGCCCGGAAAGATGTGCATCGGGGCAGTGCCCCCACTCAGTTGGGGGTCAGAGAGGCATCTCAGAGGAGTTGCGGGGGTGGAGGAGTTTGGAAGGTCATGGGCTTTTACCTGATGGTGTGGGCGTGAGGAACGGACCCTCCAGATTGAGGCAGCTGAGTGAGAATCAGGCCCGAGCAAGTCCGGGGAGCAACAGTGGCTGAGAGGTTGTGCCGTCAGAGAAGGAAGGAGGACTGCAGGAGTTGAGGCTGGTGAGGCAGGCGGGCCCAGACCCCGGCCGGCCTTGTGTGGCCTTCTCCTGGAAGCATGGGGGGCACCTGGATGATTTTAAGCAGGGGTACAATGGGACCCAGGTACATTTCGGGGAGCAATAACTTTGGCAGCAGTGTGGAGGTTGGCAGGACGGGGAGAGGCCAGGGCAGTGATGGTGGAGGCCAGAATGGGGTAGCAGCAGAAAGGAGGACAAGGGCCGAGACCTTGGGGGAAGGGAGGGCGGGTCTGGCTTGAATGGCATCATTCCACAGAGACTGGGCCAGAAGACCCGTGATGATGTCAGTAATTTATTTCAACTTAAACTTTGTGTCTTTGTTTGGTGGGATGAGTTTATTTATTCATAATTATAGTTAGAAATAGCTAGTCACTAAGTAAGGGAGCAATTTTGTGCTTTTGAGTCTTGTGCAGTTAGCATTAAGACCTTCCTTGGTCATTTGAGGGTTTAGGTAGGTGCTCCAAAGTCTTTTACTCAGAAATGTTTATTTACAACACTCAAATTAGTTACAAATGTGTACATTTGTAAGTCGAGAAAGAAATTAAGACTTTTTATAGACGATTTCCCAAACAAAAGCTTTTGGACAGTGCTATAATTCATTTTCTGATCCAAAAGATTCTCTAAACCCAATTTTTTTTTTTGTTTTAAGTAGACTCCACGCCCATCGTGGAGTTCACCATGGGGCTTGAACTCAGGACCCTGAGATCAAGAGCTGAACTGAGATTGAGAGTCAGATGCTTAACCAACTGAGCTGCCCAGGCAACCCCCGAAATCTCTTCTTAATCACCCCAAATGTGTTGAATCTGTTGCTATGGGAGTACATGTTTATATACCTCCGCTTTGCAGCGGGGTCGGCCAGGCGGGCGAGCCTCTCACTTGCCCAGTATGGAGGAGCCAGGCGAAAGGCTGAGCCTGTTCCTCAGCTAGCTCCGGTGGCCCTGGGGCCTGGTACGCTCTGGAGCACCCAGGGGTGGCCTTTCAGATCCTATTTCCATTTCAGTGTCCACTGACCGGCTCCTGCTCAGTCCCAAGGGTGCCGGCAGAAAAGTTCATGCTCCTTCGTTACAACTCGTACGATTTGTTTAGAACTGCCTGGTCCTTTAAGTCAGTAAACACTAACTGACTGGCATTCAGACTGTACATGTTGGGGTCTCCTTGTGCTCCCCTGTAAGGTACCTGGGCCTCCCTGAGTCTTCATGTAGGGAACTTAGGGTCGCTGCGCTCTGCAGCGCACGTCTGTCACATGAACCAGTGAGGAAGTTCGTCTTCTCTGCCTTCTCACCCTCAGATTGAATCAGCCCTTCACAAGGAGCATGTGATAAACTCTTGGAAAATGCAGAAAGAAGAAAAAAAACAGGTGTGGTATATGACTCGGGAAATAGCCCTCCGTGCTGTGGTGGGCGTGCTGTGCCTCCACGGCTTGGAAGTTTTCTTGTTTTCGATGTTAATGACTCCAATCCAGGAATAGACTTGATCTCAGCTTATTTAACATGCTAACACTGAACAGCGGCTGCTCTTGCTCTTACACATACGACGGTCCGTTGTGCTCGTTCCTGGGGGCAGAATCACACCAGGTGACCAGGGTTGGCCCCAGGCAGGTGCAGTGCTCATCTGAAAGGTCACTGTTGTTGCTGGCAGTCTCTTTTGACGTAGTTTGCATCGTAAACTCTTGACCTTGGCTTACAGCAGCACCTCTGGGGACAAAAGTCCATACCTCTGTGAACCCACAGCTGTGCCTCTGGGTTAATTTTGGAGAGTATTGTGCTGACTTTGGGAAGGGGAAGGAACCCCGCCCTTCTTGAGCCCCTGCTCTGTGCCAGGCCCTGTGCTGGGTACTTCCCCACCGTCGTCTCTGAGGGCAGCATCACTCCCATGGTTCCCACCGTGAGAACAGAGCCCAGGAAGATGCACCGTTGCGCAGGGTCACCAGGCTGATAAGTGGCATGACCCGCTCTAGCGTAGACACGTCCGAATGAGGAACAGCGGCGGGGAACTGGGTCTTTGCTGGCCATGTTACAGATACTGACCTCCTGGGTTCCTTTGGGTCCATCTAGCAAGAAGCCACCAAAGAGAAAGAGAACAAACGGTATGAAAATGAGCATGAACGGGCCCGAAGGGAAGCACTGGAGCGGATGAAAGCAGAAGAGGAAAGGAGGCAGCTGGAGGGCAAGCTCCAGGCTGAGGCGCTGCTGCAGCAGATGGAGGAGCTGAAGCTGAAGGAGAAGGAGGTGAGGGCACAGTCCTGGCCGCACGGCCTCCTCTGTTGCAGCCGCCTGTTGTTAGAAAATGGGCACGTGGAAAGCGGTGCTGAATAGGTTCTGTGGGGGGCGGGGGGATGATTCTAAGACATGCAACAATGCTGGGCTCTCCCTTCTCACATGTATTTCCAGCTGTGGTTTTTCCATCCTCCTAGGTTGTATGCCCAGATTCTAGAACGTTCATGATACGGAGAGAATACCTGTTCTCTTAGGTGTGTTTTCAGAGTGGCTGTGTGCGAACCTTCTTAGAACTTGGATTTTCCAGGGCACCAAGTAGACTTGACTTAGTCTGATGTCCTAGCACACAGCTATAGCTCTCCCCAGCTAGCAGGTTTGGGATCTCAAGGCATAAACTGTGAGGGTCTTTGGTTCAGGAGGCTGTTTTGAGAATACTGTGCAGTTTCCCTGAGCTAGATTCCTGGGCTGGATCTTCCCGTTCAGACAAGGGGAAGCCTGTCCTTCCTCAGGCCCAAATGATTCAGGAAATAGATCCTTAATGCCCACCATCTGCCTGATGCTTGATGCCAAGCACTGCTGGGCCTTCACGGCAGGAGCTGTGTCGGGTAGGGGAGACAGGTTAAGTCACAGTAAGGTGTAGACGAGTACAGGGTCCTGTGGGAGCATGGAGCATGGGTCTCATCCTTGTCCACAGGCCCGGGAAAGGCTCTTGCAGGAAAGGAGTGAGCCGGGCCCAGGGCTCAGAACCCAGAGGTGGGAGGGCGTTCTGATCACCCCCGGCCAGGCCAGCCCTGCTGAAAATACAGATGAAGAATGAAGGGAGCTCTGATTCTGATGACCTTAATTGGACTTAACTGTCGTCACCACAGGCCACCAAACTGAAGAAGGAGCAGGAGAATCTGCTGAAGCAGCGGTGGGAGCTGGAGAGGCTGGAGGAAGGGAGGAAGCAGATGGCAGCCTTCCGGCAGAAGGCAGAACTGGGGTGTGTATGAGAAGGGCCCCCCGCGGCTGCCCTGGCCAGGCGGGTGAGCCTCTCACTTGCCCAGACTTGCACGGGTACCCCAAACCAGAAAGGAGACAGTCTTTTGTAGTAAGCAGCTGTCTGACCTCCAGTAATTGTTCGTAAGACACTGAAGGCAGCCCATTTTGCTCATTTCTAGACGCTTTTTGAGACATCAGTATAACGTGCAACTCAATAGGCGTACCCAGCAGATCCAAGAGGAACTGGTGAGTCTGAGTCATCCTGGCATTTCTTTCACCCTCTTCAGAAGAAAATGCTTTCTGTTGCTCCATAGCTAAGTGTGTTCTCCTAATAAGACACGAGGGGAGATTCCGCCTTGATCAGCCCTGCAATCCCTGCCCCTCCCCAGAGGTCTCCTCCTAGATATATTTACATGATGCCCAGAGAGAGAAGCGGTGGGGTTCTTTACAAGTTGAAGTGGCATTCCTCAGCATATTTACCTACCGGTAAACCTCAGACACTGGGAGGGAGCCTGTGCTTTCATACTAGCTGCTCAGTCTTCCTGTTAGGTATGTCCGTGGGCTCGCTAGTGACGCAGGGACGGGGAAAGTGAATGGGCCAGCCCATTTGTCTTCCATCCCTGCCTGCTGCAGTCATGGCGGGCGGGGGGTGGCGGCGCCTCTGCTGGGGCTCGAGTGCATTTTCCCATCCCAGGACCTCCAGAGCTCCCCCGTTCTTTTTTTTTTTTTTTTTTTTAAAGATTTTATTCATTTATTTGACAGAGACACAGCAAGAGAGGGAACACAGGCAGGGGGAGTGGGAGAGGGAGAAGCAGGCCTCCCGCTGAGCAGGGAGCCCGATGCAATGTTTCTGGTTTTTCCCTCTTACAGCACAGCGGCGGTGAGCATTTTGTGCACGTCTTTGTGCCTTTGGGTCTCCAGTCTGTGCTCTCAGAAGTGAGACTGCTGCCCAGCTGTGTTCTTGAAAGCTGTGCTACCAGGCCTGTCCAAGGGCAGGGACTTGCGTGTGGTGGCAGAGGGGTCTCCCTTGGAAAGGGAAAGCTCCTGGGCCTCTCCTGCATTGTTTTAAACCATCCCTAAGTGGTTAAACCCTGACCCTTCCCGTCTCTATCTTGGAAACCATCAGAAGCCTCACAAATGTCTGCTCTCAGTGCCGAGTGCCGAAAGGTGGGGCCGTGGGAGTGGGAGGCAGGGGCTGCAGAAGGGCTCCCCCCACTCCCCCTGTGCTTCCTCGGCCACCCTCCAGGAGGCGGACAAGCGCATCCTGCAGGCGCTCCTTGAGAGGGAGGATGAGAACCAGCGCATGCAATTGGCCAAGAGGGCGCAGGCTGTGGCTGACGTGGAGTGGATGAAGCAGGTTGTCGAGGAGCAGCTGCGGCTGGAGAGGGAACGGGAGGCAGAGCTGCAGCTGCTGTTGAGGTGAGAGGCGGCCCCTGCGTGTGCCCGACACTCCCAGCCTCTCCTCTGGTCCCTCACATCCCCACAGGACACCACAAGGGTCTCTGTTGTGACCAAAACATTTGCGCTTGCTCAGCTATCCGTCGTGACGAGCACATGTTGCTAACGGACCTGGCTTGCGGGGGTGTTTCCCTGAAGTCCTTTCAGGTGGAAATCATCAGGGTTTAGAGTAAGGGTCTGTTCCTTTAAGATCTTAGAAACTTGATAGGAAGTTGTTATAAACTGTGGAGATGCTGAATGCTTCTTAGGTCTATTACAGATGGTTCTGGATCCTAAAAACCCAGGAGATTGAAATAATCAAATAACAGGTAGTATTTATTGAGCTCTGACTGTGGGTCAGACACCGTGCAAAGCGCTTTCCCGTCCTCATGTTCTTGGCTCCTGCCCTCGCCAGGACTCGAGGAGCAGGGGTCGGGGCTCAGGCACCGCCAGGCTCCTGTCCCTCTCCAGGGTCCTGACGGCTTCAGTCACCTTGGTGTCCAAATGGCATGGGTGCAGGCCATCACAGTTGTGTTTCGTAAGGAGGCGGGAGCATAACCAAGGCAGCCCAAAGTACTTACTGGAGGAGTACTCTCCGTGAGCTGGTCCGGAATTGTCACCTGTGAAGAGTTGGGTGCAGAAGTTGGTGTGAACGTTGGCCCCGTAGAAGATGTGTGGACCTGTGCACCGGAGCCCTCTTGGTTCTTTAGTTGTCTTCTGCCGTGGGTGGTGGCAAGGAGCCCGCTCTCATCCGCTCTGTGTTCCCAGGGAGGAGGCCAAGGAGATGTGGGAAAAGAGAGAGGCGGAGTGGGCCCGGGAGAGGAGCGCCCGAGACAGACTGATGAGTGAGGTAATGCCGGCTGCGCGCACAGACTGACCCTGCCAAATGTTCTGGAACACAGGCCTCTCTGGTCATCATAAAGAGACTTTTAACGTCATTATGAGAGTAGTATCAACTTATTCGACAAAAATTCATAAGTACAGAAGTAAACATCAAGTTACCCAGACCCCCCAGCATCTAGTCATCATTACTTGATTTCCTTCAACTCTTCCTGTTTCTGTGCATAATGTGTGTTTCTGAGCATTCGCTATTATACTGTGCTATTTGATTTCAAGCATTCTAACATACTATTCACATCTTCCTTGTAGATATTTTGACGACAGGCATATTATATCATGTGGGTGTGTTGTAGTTTGTGTTCTACTCCCCTCTTGTGGGTATTCTTTTTTTTTTCTAATTTTGAGGCGTTATAAGAAACATTGTAGTAAACATCTTGGGGCATAAGCTTTCCATTTTCTATATTTAGGATTTTTTCCTTTGAGGTATATAACCAGAAGTGGATTCTTGGAGGAACATACCTGTTTTCTTTGTCAGGATTTAAGTAATATACAAAAGGCATACCCCATTTAGAAGGAAATCTTTTAGGGGCTCCTGGCTGGCTCAGTTGATGGAGCATGTGCCTCTTAATCTCGGGGTCATGAGTTTGAGCCCCACATTGTGGGTAGACATTCCTTAATAAAAAATTTTTTTAAAAAAAGGAAATCTAGGAAAAAACCTTCGTTATCCATGTATTGAAAGTTAAAGTGGTTTAAAATGGAAATTCTATTTTGTGCATGTCCTTTTCGAATCCGTGGGAAGTCGGGTTCCCACTGGTGCTGTCTCACTTTTGTGAGTACCGATACTCTGCAGCACGTGTTGATTTTCCCTATTAAAAATGTTCCTCCTCATTGTGGCCACTTATGTGTCCCCTCCAGGGAGCATAATTGTTGGGTGTGGCAGGTGGCTTCCCACCGTTCTAGTTCTTGAGGCCTGACCATGCTTTGGACGTAATCCTGTGCTGTGGCCAGGTCTCAAACCCAGAAAGTTTCTGCCACTCTAAGCAGTAAATTTAAATCCAAAAGGCTGAGGGGAGGACCCAGACTCTATCTCTGGTCATCTACGTGGCTTGTGGTTTCTTTTTCTAGATCTGATGGGGAGTGAGACTCACAACCTTGTTGCTATGTTTCTGCCCTGGGGAGGGAGCTCCATCCCCTCCTCTGACCTTGTCGGTGCCCAGCTGTCTCTCCCTACCGTACAGTGTGTGCATTTTGTGTGTGCTGGGGACGGGTGGGAAGCGGGGCTGACACTGTGTGGGTCAGTCCTGTGATCTGGACTTGCCTCCACCTGGTGTATTCAGGCCTGAGGCTGAGGACAAGGCTGGGTCTCGGGGCAGCTACGGCCTGCCCACGGCTTACAGAACAGGTACCTGTTAGCGTCACACTGAAATCTGCCCTTTGCCTTCCCACTGCGGGTAGGTTCTGACAGGGAGACAACAACAAATACAAGAAAAGCTTGAACAAAACCGACGGGCACAAGAGGAGTCCCTGAGACACAGGGAGCAGCTTATTCAGAATCTTGAGGAAGCAAGAGAGTCAGCTCGTCGTGAGAAAGAGGAGAGTGAAGAACTGAAATCGGCCAGGAAACAGGAGCTGGAGGCCCAGGTGGGCTCAGCCAGCGGGGGGGTGTGTGGCGGGGAGGCAGCCTCAGCCAGGGGGATGCGAGCCACAGGTAGCAGGCCTCGGTGTGGCCCCCGCCCCACTGTGGCACCAGAGGCCAAGACCCTTGACTTATTTTCGCAGCCTGGCACTAGGACCTTGTCCGAGAAGCCCACGTCAGTGAGCTCAGTGCACCCCTTTTCCTTTCCAGCTGAAACCCCCGACCCTCCTGATTAGTCCCAGCTTCACTCCAGGTCCTCCGTCTGTGTGGGAGCAAGGCTGTCAGGCCTGGCCAGCCTCTCCCTTTCCTGTCTGTATCTGCAAGCCTCTGGCTCGCTGGGACACAGTTTATTGAGTTCAGGACCTGACAGGGAGCAGAGAATAATCTTCCAAGCACGTGGGCACACCGGAACTTTTTATGAGCTGCGTGTTATACACACAGCCTTTCCAAGCTCATAAATGTCCTTCCTTCTTCTGGCACTTGCCGTCACGGTGGCTTAGCTGGGCTTCTCCAGCTGGCAGAGGCCCACGGGCTTTCCCTCATGATCCGAGGCAGGGCTCTGCCCTGGGAGCACTGTCCTGGGTGACTGTGCTCTTGGTGGCCAGGTTGCAGAGCACCAGCTGCAGGCATGGGAGGAGGACCAGCAGCAGGAGGAGGAAGAAGAGGCGGCGAGGCAGGCAGAGCGGCTCACTGACACCCTGCTACGGCAGGAGGCGAAGATGATGGCTGAGCGGGGCTACCAGCCCAAGGTAGGGAGTCTGCAGGGGATGGGCCCCGCTGCCGAGCCGCCACCAACTTGGCCCCTGCCGTCCCAGGCCTGTTCGTAGCCCTGTGCTCGGCTCCAGTTCTTCCTCACTCCTCCTCGGTTTCACCCTTTCTCGGCCAGTAGGGAACCTTGACACATGGCTGGTCCAGTCTTTCTTTGGGCTTGAGGTGATCTTGCTCTGGTCCTGAATGCTGAGCTGCGGGCCGTGTGGCCCCCACTGGGGCCGGGAGCCATCTAAGAGCTCCGGTGCCGTGGGTGGAAGGTGAAGGAGCAGTGGTGCTAGGTCCCCGCTGTGCAGACAGCAGAGCCCTGCTGAACAGGGGCCCGGTTTCCCTTCCTCTCAGCACCTCTGCCTGCCCCCTCCTCGCTCTGCGATCCTCTCTTCTCCTTCCGTCTTTCCCTGTCCCTCGAAGTACATGAGTCAGCCCTGAGCAGGACAGCACAGGGCGCACACACAAGCCAAGGCCAGCACGCCGCTCCCCGGGAGCTGGTAGCAGAGCACCGGGAACCGAGGGACGGCCAGTAGGCCTGTCGCCTCTGCTGCAGTTCCAGGGCTGCTCCGGCTGCCCCCCCACCCCCCCCCGGCGCTCTAAGCGCTGCAAGACCAGGAGGCTGGCTCCTTTATGAGCAGAGAACTCTGGGAAGCCGACTAGGCAGGTGGAGCGGGTGCTGCGCTGGCTGCAGAACTGTTTTGTCCTGGCCGGCTGGGGCTCTCGGGGTGCAGGGAACAGCATGTTCTCAACTCACTTGACCAGGGATCAGTGAGTGCCTTGGGACCAGGCTTTCACAGAGCACAAGTGAAAACGTTATTAAAAAAGGTAATAGGGGCGCCTGGGTGGCTCAGTCGGTTAAGCGTCTGCCTTAGGCTCAGGCCATGATCCCAGGGTGCTGGGATCAAGCCCTGCATCGGGTTCCCTGCTCGGTGGGAAGTCTGCTCCCTCTCCCTTTCCCCCTGCTCCTGTTCTCTCTCTCGCTCTCTATCTTTCTGTATCTCAAATAAATGAATAAAATCTTTTAAAAAAAGGTAATAAAGTGTCTCAGTTATGGCTTAGGGTCAAAGCTTTGTCACTTGTAAATGAAAAAGCCATTGATTTATACTCCGCTTTCAGCTCTTACTTAAGTTGGGATTAATTCCCAGTGCTCCAGAGATTGGCTGATCTGATCAGGTTTGTGTTTTCTTTCTTTCCTCAGCCCTATGGACATCCCAGAATTGCTTGGAACTGACTTCGTTCAGACCGTAAGCACAGAGAGCAGGGACGCTGAGGCCTGTGATACGCAGGTGCCAGACAGTTGTACCATGTTCTGTTCGAGTGTTCGGGTCCATAGTTACCCAGAGCAAGGGCCTCACCAGACTAAGGGGTTGTAGAGAGGCAGCACCCAGCAGGAGGCCCTTTCCTGCCTTTCGTATCCAAGGATGGGGCTCTTAGAGTCACACACTGTCAGTACTGTCACGCAGTCCCTAGACTTAGAAAGTCAGACTCTGCAACCACGCTAGGAGCTGTGGGGTGTGTCCCATGACAGGATATATGGTTTCCTGTTGCCTCAAGCAAATTGTCCACCGCCAGTGAAGACTCCCGCTGGAGAGATGAGGGAAGTTTCTCAGTTCTTAAACTTGCTTATTTAAATTTCATTATTTGGTTGAGCGCAAACTTGTAAGTCTTGGTGCAGTATTTCAGGGTTTATTAATTTAGTGATCCCAGAAGGATCACATCTTGTTTTCTGGAAGAAAAAAAGCTATTCTGAGACAGTCTGATGTGCTCCATAGATGCTTTCTGGAAAGGTAGCAAGAAGTGGGTCTTTCCTCCTTCAGGAAACATTTGGTAGAACTTCCATAGAGTGCCCTGTGTGGGCTGATCCCAACATGTATGTGACTGAGCCCCAGAAGGGAGCCTCAAAAGGCCAACTGGGTGGCTAACCTTCGGGCATGACACTTTGGACCTCTTGTGTCTTGGGAAGGTCTTGGCAATATGCAGCCTTGTGGGATGTGTGTGTGCAGAGGAAGGGGCACTGAGCCTCAAGGAAGTAGATCACACTCAACCAGATTGGCCAGAACTGCCTCTTCCCACTGTTCTATCAACATGACACACTTCTAGAGTAATCTCTGCAAGGAATACAAGTTCCCTGCAGCAATAATCATATTTTTATGACTTGTTTTTTTTTTTCAGATTCTTCCTCTGAGGTTTCAGTTTTCATTATATTGTATTTAAGATTGCCTGTCTCAGTAAATTACAGCTAATTATAGGGCTGTATGCCAGGTTATTAAAAACCCGAGTTTATTAAAAAAAATCCTGAGCGTAAGGGCTGCATTGCCTTCCACATCCATTGTGCTATAAAAACAAATGGAGCAGCAAACTGCATCCTTAATATGTTTTTCGTTTTCTTGTCTTGAATTTCTTTGGCTGTTGTGATCCCCTGAGCACCACTTTCATTATGCTTGCTTGTATTTGCTTCCCGTTTCAGACGTTCATTTGTTGTGAAATAAAGTTCTGGTGTGACGGCATGGCTTCACGGCTTTGTTATTGTTGCTTTTAGTAATTGTTGCAGAGTGGGCCCTATAGAATGAAAGATCTTTACTGACTCAATCCACATCTCCTACAGCTTTGCGTATTTCCTACGACTGCTCACAAGAAAAATAAGTATTTTTCCTGTGGAAGTGGTGTTGTCTCCCCTCTAATTTCCACTGGATCCTCTTTTAAGGAAACCACAGGGAATTATTAGGAATCATAGACTGTCTGAGGTCCACTATAGATTTGATGTGGACAGAATGCCTGGTAAATAGGCACGTAAATATTTACTGAATATTTCTTATTTCTTTCAATTTCTTATTTTTGAAGCCTTTTTTGTGACGCTGGTTCTCTGCCTAATTCATTTAAATGTTTCCTCTCTAAACTTGGCCAAAATAATAGTTTCTAAGTTTAGAGCTTCCATTGCCTTACTGCTTCTAGTATGGCCCAGAGTCGTCTTCTCTCATTTATAGTTCGTGCCATGATTATGTACGTATATTGGCTTTGTTGTTTTTAAGCACCTTTTTCCATTCCCTATAAAATTGGTGATTTTTAGATTATTCTTCACAGATTCTTCTATGAAGTTCAGTTCCTTTAGAACAGATGGTGCTGAAGCTTATAGTAATATAAAGTAATTCTTATTTTCTGTATTTTCACTCTTTGTGCTCGCTCAGCATATACCTTAATTTTTGTGAAGGGTGTCAGTCTGTGTCTTTATTCATTTTGGGGGGCATGTTGCTGTCCAGTTGTTCCAGCACCATTTGTTTAAAAGATTACTTGCTTCGGGGTGCCTGGGTGGCTCAGTCGTTAAGCATCTGCCTTCAGCTCAGGTTGTGATCCCAGGGTCCTGGGATCGAGCCCTGCATCGGGCTCCCTGCTCGGCGGGAAGCCTGCTTCTCCCTCTCCTACTCCCCCTGCTTGTGTTCCCTCTCTTGCTGTGTCTCTGTCAAATAAATAAACAAAAACCTAAAAAAAAAAAATGACTTGCTTCATCATATTGCCTTGGCTCCTTTGTCAAGGATCAGTTGACTATATTTATGTTGGTGTATTTCTGGGCTCCTTAATCTGTTCCATTGATCTGTTTATTCTTTGGCCAGTACCACAAACTTCTATAGTCAATACCACCATCTTGATTACTGTTGCTTTATTGTAAGTCTTGAAGTTGGGTATTATCATTTGTTCGTTTCCTTCAATATCGTATTGGTTCTTCTGGGTCTTTTGCCTCTCCACATGAACTTTAGAATCAGTTTGTTGATATCCACAAAATAACTTGCTGGATTTTTTTTTTTTTTTAAGATTTTTTAAGTAATCTCTCCTCCCAATGTGGGACTTGAACTTGCAACCCCAAGATCAAAATTTGCGTGCTCTACTGACTGAGCCAGCCCAGGCTCCCCCAAGTGGCTGGGATTTTGACTGGGATTGCACTGAATCTATAGATCAAGTTGGGAAGAACCAACGTTTTAACAATCTTCCTGTCCATGAACATGGAATATCTTTGTAAAACCTCATCAGAATTTTGTAGTTTTCTTCATATAGCTCTTACACATTTTTTTTTTAGATTTATACCTACAGTGTTTAATTTTTTTTTTTTTTTGGGTGCTAATGTAATTGGTATTGTGTTTTTAATTTCAAATTTCACCACTTCATTGCTGGTGTATAGGAAATGATTAACATTTACACATTAACTTTCTATCCTATAACCTTGCTATAATTGCTTATTGGTTTCAGGAGTTTTTTTGGTTAATTCTTTCAGATTTTCTACATAAAGCTGATCATGTCATCTGTGAACAAAGACAGTTTTATTTCTTCCTTCCTGATCTGTATCTTTTACTTCCTTTTCTTGTCTTACTGCATTAGCTAGAACTTCTGTGTTGAAAGGAATGGTGAAAGGGGACATCTTTGCTTCGTACCTGACCTTAGTGGGAAAGCTTTGAGTTTCTCACCATTATGTACGATATTAGCTGTAGGATTTTGTAGATTTTTTTTTTAATCAAGTTGAAGAAGTTCCCCTCTCTTCCTAGTTTGCTAAGAGTTTTTATTATGAATGGGTATTGGATTTTTTCACGTTTTTTCTGCATCTATTGATACGATGTGATTTTTCTTTTTTAGATTGTAGATGTGATGGATTACAATAATTGATTTTTGAATGTTGAACCAGCCTTGCATACCTGGGATAAATCGAACTTGTTGTGGTATATAATTCTTTTTATATACTGTTGGATTCAATTTGCCAGTATTTTGTTGAGGATTTTTGCATTTATGTTCATGAGAGATTGATGTGTAGTTTTCTTCTCTGGTAATGCCTTTGTCTAGGTTTGGCTTTAGGGTAATGCTGGCCTCACAGAATGGGTTTTGCATTTATCTTCTGAAAAAACCTAGGGGGAATTGGTATACGTTTTTCCCTAAATGTTTGGTAGAATTCACCAGTGAATCCATCTGGGCCAGCCTGGTGCTTTATTTTTGGAAGGTTATTAATTATTGATTGAATCTCGTAAGTAGATATGGGCCTGTGCAGATTGTTTCCTCTTATGTAAATTTTGACAGGTTATGTATTTCGAGGAGTCGGTCCATTTCCTCTAGGTTATCAATTTGTGGGCAAGGAGGTGGTCATAGTATTCGTTTATTGTCATTTTGATTTTGATGTTCATGGGACCTGTAGTGATGTCCCCTCTTCATTTCTGGTATTAGTGATTTGTATCCTCTCTTTCTGGCTTAGCCTGGCTAGAGGCTTATTGATTTTACTGATCTTTCTAAAGAACCATCTTTTGGTTTTGTTGATTTTTCTCTATTGATTTCCTGTTTTCTAATTCTACTCTAGTTAACATTTACATTATGTAATAGGCTTACAGTTAACATATTTTTTGTTCCATCTGGGTTGACAGTACAAATGAGGTTCTTTGGGCACTTTTGCAGTCACTCTGGCCTTTGCCAGTTGTAACCCAAGGAGTGCCAGCCTTTAGGCCCAGGCTTCTCTTTACCACACAGGCCCTTCCTACATGATGTGAGCCAGGCCTACAGCATCCAGCATCATCTCCACATCAGTACGTCCTGGATCTGTATCTCTAGTCCAGATTTCTATATCCACCACCCCTTTGATATCCCCACTTTGGTTTTGTTTTTTTTTTTTAAAGATTTATTTATTTATTTTTTCATGAGAGACAGAGAGAGAGGGAGAGAGAGAGAGAGAGAGGCAGAGGGAGAAGCAGACTCCCAAGGAGCAGGGAGCCCGATGCAGGACTCGATCCCAGGACCCTGGGATCATGACCTAAGCCGAAGGCAGACGCCCAACCATCTGAGCCACCCAGGTGCCCGATATCCCCACTTTGATATGCATCTCAAAGGCAACTCCAACTCAGCCCAAGACTATCAAATGATCTGTCCTACTAAACTAAAGCTTTCTTTCATTAAAAAAAACAACAGCAACAACCTGGCTCTTCTGCAGTGTTCTCAGATAAGTGAATGGCACCCCCATCCATCCTGCCAGCTACAGGAGCCATAAGCCTAGGGGCACTGAGTCCTGCGACTATGAGCTCCAGCAACCTCCAAGTCCATCTGCTTTGCTCCCTCTGCCCCATCTTTCATGGCTACCACGGACTTCTATCTGAAGTCACCCATCCAGCTCACTTTCTTCTCCTTCCTGCAGTCAGAGATCTTTTACAAACACACACCTGAAATGAACATCTCCTACCTTCTTCAACAGTGTCCCTCTGCTTTTAGACCAAGCCTCAGATGCTTTTGTGGCCTACCAGGGAAGGCCTTCCAGGGGCCTTGTGAATGTGCCATGCTACCTCCTGGCTGGGAAA